TTAAAAATGTTTTTTTTTAGAATAAAAAAGTCAATTAACAGTTAAATTACTGTCTCCGATAGTTAAATAACTGCTGGAGACAGTAATTTAGCAACAAATACAATAATATTAATTAAAAATATTTTTTTAAGAATAAAAAAGTCAATTAACAGTTAAATTACTGTCTCCGACAGTTAAATAACTGCTGGAGACAGTAATATAGCAACGAATACAGTAATATTAATTAAAAATATTTTTTTTAAGAATAAAAAAGTCAATTAACAGATAAATTACTATCTCCGACAGTTAAATAACTGCTGGAGACAGTAATTTAGCAACGAATACAGTAATATTAATTAAAATATTTTTGAAGAAAAAAAAAAAACAGTCAATTAACAGTTAAATTACTGTCTCCGACAGTTAAATAGCTGCCGGAGACAGTAATTTAGCAGCAAAGACAGTAAAATTAATTAAAATATTTTTTTTAAGAAAAAACAAAATTATTATAAAAAAAAAAAAAAAAAAGTCAACGCCCGTTGACCGCCCGGAAAAAAAATTTCAGGAAAACAAAAATTCAAAAAAAAAAAAAAAAAAAAAAAAAAGTCACCGCCGGAAACCGGCGGTCTCCGGCGGTCAGTGCCGGAATCTGGCCGGAAAAAAAATATTTCAAAAAAAAATTTATTTTCTGAAAAAAAAAAGTTTTGGGGTTTAATGTGATATATTGTTAAAATCCGGGGTCAATGTGTAATATTTAAGAAGTTAGAGCATAATGGGTGGAATTGATAAGAATTAGGGTTAAAATTGGGGTCAAAATTGAAATTAGGGTTAAAATTGGTTAATTGATGAAATTGGGCTAAATTGGGGTGTAAATCATGAAATTGGAGTTGAATTGGGTTTCAATGAATTGAGGGTAATTTTGGTATATATAAAGGAATTTTCCTTATTTGCAAATAAGTTTGAATGGGTTGGATTTATTTGAAAGACAAAAAAATTGAATGTTCATCTTTTAATTAAGTGCCCTTGTCATGGGCTTTTTTGTGATTACCCCATAAAATAATGTTGTACGCCTTAGCATCGTAATCAAATGTTGGGTCACCGATTGTCCACGCGCAAACAAATAAGCCATCTCTATTTTCCTCCGACCATATGCTTTCCTTTCTTCCTTATCTTTTTGCATAAACAAAAACACCCATTCTTGAAAATCGAAACATTAATTTACTAGTGCAGTCAGCTATTTTCGCTGCTACAATAATGGCTGCGATTACTCTCCACACAAACCGTACACTTCCTTCATTACTGCATACTCAAACCCCTAAACCCACATTCTCCCACAATCTATCACTTATCTCGAAATCTTCACACTCTCAATTCCATGGCCTCAAGCTCTCTAATTCTTCCCATCTTTCAATCCCTTCTTCTGCTTCTGCCAAAAGCTGCATTCTTGCCAAGGTACATTTATCAAGATTGCTTTTTTTTTTTTTTTTTTTGGTACTGTTTTGCTCCCTCAATTGGTTGAGGGATTATATTTGATATGACCCTCTTCTTGAATTATGCTGTAAATTCTTTTTTATGTTTTCATGCTGGCTAAATGTACAAGAAAATGACATTGATTGTTGATCTTTTGTTATTTTCTAGCCTGAGGTGCACTTATCAAGATTGCTTTTTTTTTTTTTTTTTACTGTTTTGCCCCTCCCTCAATTGGTGGAGGGGTTTAGCTATTTCAGTTATCAGAAACGACCCTCTTCTTGATTTATGCTGTAAATTCTTCTTTTGTTTTCATGCTAGCTAAATGTACAAGAAAGTGACATTGATTGTTGATTTTCTGTTATTTTCTTGCAAAGATTACTTTTTTTTTTAACAACTGTTTTGCCCCCTCAATTGGTGGAAGGCTTTAACAATTTCAGTATTCAGAAATGACCCTCTTCCTGATTTATGATGTAAATTCTTCTTTTGTTTTCATGCTAGCTAAATGTACAAGAGAATGAAATTGATAGTTGATTTTCTGTTATTTTCTTGCAAATATCAAGATTACCTTTTTTTACTGTTTCCGAGCCATCAGCCATCAATTGGTGGAGGAGGGCTTTGAAAATTTCAGAACTAAGAAATGACCCTCTTCTTGAATTATGTTGTAAATTCTTCTTTTATTTTCCTACTAGCAAAATGTATAAAAGAAAAATGAAGTTGTTGGTACATTTTCTGTTCTTTTCTGAAAGTAAGCACTCGTATTTAGAGTTGATTGTAGTCGTAATTCACCGTTTTCTTTTCGTCGGTCTTTCGAAATTGGGGGATTTTGAAGGTATCAGAAGGGACATTGCCACCAGTGTTTACCCTGAGAGATCAAAATGGCAAGACTGTGAGCCTCTCCAAATTCAAAGGCAAGCCTGTTGTTGTTTATTTCTACCCTGCCGATGAAACCCCCGGTTGCACAAAACAGGTTACGCCCTTTTTGGGTTTTTTTTTTTTTTTATGTGTATTCTAGATGTTTATGTTATTATTACTTGATTGTGAAACTCAAAAATTATATTACATATGATGTTTGCAGGCATGTGCCTTCAGAGACTCCTACGAAAAATTCAAGAAAGCAGGAGCCGAAGTTGTCGGAATCAGCGGTGACGGTTCCGAATCCCACAAGGTATATATAAATCAATATTTTCGACGCAAAATTTTAAATCCATGGAAATCGACTTAAAACAAACGATTTTTATCAATGCAGGCCTTTGCTCAGAAATACAAACTCCCATTTACCCTACTCAGTGACGAAGGCAACAAAGTTCGTAAAGAATGGGGTGTACCATCTGACCTATTCGGTGCTTTACCTGGAAGGCAAACTTACGTTCTCGACAAGAATTTAGTTTGTCGGCTCGTCTACAACAATCAATTCCAACCCGAAAAGCACATTGACGAGACCTTGAAGTTTCTCAAAACCGTCTAAAAATTGACCCGTATATTTGTACTATTGGTAAAAAAAAAAGATTGCTTTTCTTTTTGTGCTGTAAGTTGACTCTGTTTACTCTCTGTTTTCTTATGTAAAATACGAAACTTTTTATTTTCTTTTGCGTTATTCGATCTATTACACGGGGCTTACACATTTTATTTATTTCATAATCAAATAAAAATAAATCATGAGCATGTATATATATAAATATTGTTGATTAGTGTAGTATTTTAGGCGAAAAAAAGGTGGCTTCGTTTTATTTTTTCTCCTCTTCGTTGTAGTCTCGGCTGTTGTAAGGGGTAAAAGCTTCGGAAATCCAGTTGTTCTTCCTCCACGAATTCCACCCCATCTCTTTGCATATTTCGTCGGTGTGATTAATACTGAAAGTCGAAATGCAGCTGCGTTTGTAGAATCGTGTGGACCTCTTCATAATTTCCATTTCTTGAGTTGTTTGATCGAGCATCTTCTCCATGCTCGGTAGCTTGAATTCTTCGTCCGCCAAACGAGACAGCCATTTGCAGCGAATTTCAGCTGTGTGCAGATTCGAAACACTCTCGATGTATCCCACGAAAGCCATGTTTGGAATCAGTGGATTAATTGTACCCCTGGTATCAAAATCAACAGAATTAATTATGTTCAAGAATAAATGTCGATTCAGTTTAAATAATACCGTTTCGAATTCAAACGTGATTTTGACCGTCTTTTAGTCTGGATTTGGCAAAACTCAAAACACGGAATTTGTAGTTCTTTGAGTTGGCTTTTGCTAATACAACTCGAATCTTCAAGATTGGATGTCGGATGAGAAAGATATGCATGAAGCAGCTAAAAATTATCTAAAAATTTAAAATGTAACTCATTCATGCATAACTTTGTTATCAGACATTCAACCTAGCTGATTCAAATCTGATCAGAAAGCTAACTCAAAGGACTTCCGTTCGCGTGTTTCGACTTTTGCAAAAATCAGACTAGAAAATGGACAAAATCACGTTCCAAGTCAAACCTAATTAATAAAATTGAAACGACATTTTAACATTTCAGTTACTATATAACCCTAGAATAAAAATACAAGTATGTACCTATATAAGGGCATGCTGCCAGAGGGGAACTCGAGAAGGCTGCGAAAAGGGTCCGGGATAATAGATTTCAGTTTCTGCTTCCCGTCGAAACCGGTGGCAAGAACGACGACCTCAGCCTCTAGCGACGACCCGTCCTCGAAGTGGACCCCACCCTCGGAGAACCACCACTTCGAAGATCGTTTAAAGACGATTTTGCCCTTGTCCGCCTCGGAGAAGAA